AAACAGAATGAATGGATTTGTTAATAGACAATCACTGATCATACTAGTTATGTTTGTTAATTAAGTTTAAATGAATAACAAGATAAACTTATTTCTTGTGGAGGTGATAAGACAATATTAGTATTTGAATATTCGGAATAAAATAAAAGGTGGATTGTCATATAAAATATAAAAGTAGATTAACACGGTTATCGATTATGCTTTATCAACAATGATTAATTCACATTTCAGCCTAATGATGGCAATTTGATGGATGTCTATGAAATGAATAGTGTAAGTAAATAGTTCACTAGAACAAAACATATTACTATAAATTAAGGTTATGATGGTTGGAATTTATTTCCATAATAATTTATTAAATAAAAATAGATATTAGTGAATAAACATGAGAAATGTATCAATTTAATAAGAAAGACAGAAAATAATGAATTTAAACTTGAGTAATCTATTCAATTTAATCATAATTGTTTATTTGGGTAATTGAGTGATGATGGACAGTATTTAATTACTTGGGATACAGTATCAAAAGAAATATAAATTAGAAAATATCAACAATTATGACAATTATTAACATATACAAAAATTTTATTTATATCTAAATTACTTATAAAGTGAGATATTTTGAATTATAACAATCTATATGTGAATATTTAGGGTGAGAATTAATAAATACGAAATCGTAACCAAAAATCTTGAATAAACACTAATGTTTCAGTAATAAAATAAAATCTGTTAATAAACATAAATCTTTTCAGCATTTTACTTTTATGTAAAAACATTAAACTTGCAAGGAGTTGAATTAGTTCCTCTGAGTGGTGAAGTTGATAAGGTATTTTAGAATATTCCCTATGATAAATTGAAGAAAAGTTTAAATTTAAATTCAATAAACTTAATGAAATGGAGACTTCGAACTTTTATTTGATATGAAGTAGATAGTGACTTATATTAAATCGTTTGCGATAAAGTCAGATACAAGAATCAATATGCTTACATTCTTCTACTCAATATTACTGAAGTTAGAAAGGAATTTTATTTGATTATCTATCAGAAATTCAGTTCAAACAATAGGTGATAACTAACAATTATACAAACTCTGTAAAAACGCTCTAAATTTTAACACCTCACTATCATTCCAAGCAAAATTATTTTCATTTAATAATGCCCGTTTAAATATTCTAAATGAAAAAGAATCTATAGCTATAAAATTGCTCTCCTAAAATTTATTGATAGGATGTTTCTGCTTAAGTCGATCAACTATCTAAATGACAAAATAATGAAAACCAAAAAGATTTAAGAAAACCTGTTTTTTTTAGGTATTATTATTAGAAAAATTTATTAGAGCCTTTTCATTAGGAAAAATTTAAATATTCATGTGATACTAACTACCAAAGTCTATTAATAAAAGTACAAATATATTCAATAATTAGTTAAAGGCCAAAAACTTGATTTTATTCAATTTCTTGAATTTCATTTAAAAAAAAAATAAACTTAAAAACAAAAATATAACTATTGCTTAGGTAGAAGTTTTTGGTTTTAAATCCAAGATCCTTATACATCAAT